AGAAAAGAATCTATTGCTTTGTCAGAAATAATGGCACAGTTTTCTTCCTAGGAAAGGTAGGAGGTTGTTCTCCTTTTTAATGTAAGCTGCCCTGGTACTTCTCTGTATGGGAATGAGGAACAGTCTAAACATTATAAAAAGAAGTACGCTTAAAGTGCAAACAACATTAGTATAATTCTCATTGCCTCCATCTAGGGTAAATGTAAGGATTCATGAGCTCTAGAGCTGTAAGAGGAATCTAAATTCATGTATTCACATCCCCCATGTTGTAGGATTAAGTTTAGTATGACTGAAATAGATTTGTTCTCAATAATCTCCAATTAAAGGTATCCTAAAATCTCTCTTGATGATAACTTTCATTGGTTCCATTACCTTTTTGTTGAAAGATTTTTCCAGTTTAAATATTACTTCTGCAGAGCCACTGAAGTCAAAACAATTTAGAACAGAACAGCACTAGGGCAAGACAAGTTTTTTTCTTTAATTACAATTTTGGTTTTTGTTTGTTTTTTTTTCCCATTACAAATCAGAAACAATGATCTGTGTGTCATTAAACCAAAGGTAATCCCATGACTTGAATTAGGAATTGCTTAACGATCATTAAAGCTATTTTTTTATGTTCGTATAACCTATTAATTTTGAGAAAGCACATTAGAAACAGTACTAATGTCTGATGTGTGGGGAAAATTTTCCTCTTTTCAATCTGAACAGAGGACTTTATGTGGTTCTGTTGAGAGTGAAAGTTGGCAAAGAGTTGTTAACGATTTATTTCATCACTATGTATATTTTTGACATATAGTTGTTCATAAAAATAGTAAAAAACAAGAAATTCAAAGAAATGTATGACATAGTGGAAGATGTAGAGGATTGCAATGGTCTTGCAGTACAAAGTATTTCATTTCACAATCTTAAATAAAACTCCATCATGTATGAGTTTTCTCTTACTGAAAGTTAATCGTGCCTAGGAAAAGAAACCAATGGCCACAGTCTCCATCCCAGATCATGCAATCACAGAGTCACAGAATAATTCAGGTTGGAAGGGACCTCAGGAGGTCTACAGTCCAACCTTCTCAAAGCAAGTTCATCTATGAGATCAGGCCATATCCATTTAGGTCTTGAAAACCTTCAAGGATGAAGATTGCCCAGCCTCTATGGATGAAATGTTCAATTTGCTTGACCATCTTCATGGTGAGGACATGGCATCACTTTTAATCTTTTTTAGTTTGTCTGTTTTGCTTTTTGTTTGTTTGTTTAGACAGCCCCATATCCATCTGTATACTAAGACTGTTCCAGGGCAGGACTGATGTATTAACAGAATAGGAGATATTGCTTCATTTTGTGGCTGGAGCTACAAGCAGAGGTCACAGCTGCTTTGCTATTTACTGTAGGGACAGTAGATGTTTTCTACACAGCTGTTTTGTGGTTAGACATTGTTGTGTCTAACAATAAAGACCAGCTGCAGCTGGTGGATTGGTTGAGATGTTCTGGTAAGTTTTACTCACGTTATAAGTTGCAGGCTGATCATCCATGTTGAGTCACTAAAGTAATGGCATGAGATTTTTAACCTGGCCCAGTGTTTTTTGAAAGAAGTCTAGAGAATGAAAGACTGGTATGAAGTGATGCAGCTGGCCTGAATGCAGTAATGACATGTACTAAAAAAGCCTTTAGTGACTAATGATTTCTGATGACAAATTCTAGGCCTAGAGCTCTTCCTGTAGGAAGACTGTCATCAAATAAAATTTAAAAGACATCACTTCCACATTCTTCTTCATGAGATCTTTGCATCCATGGAGAGTCTGTGGACATTCTAGTGCTGGGAACTGAACTGACTGGAGTTCATGAAGTATAATTCAGCCAAAAAAGACTAATAGTATGCTTTTTCTGCCCATTGACAAGATATCTATAATATTTTAGCTAATTCAACCATATCTTCTTCATCAATGAGCTGATTTCGTCTAGGGACTGTGGTAACTTGAGAGATCTTCTATTCTTGTCTGTATTGCAGTCTAGAATGTATTACATTCATGTTCCCAATACTAAAGACCATTTTATAGGACCAGTACCTATTCCACTTCGTATTATTGTTGTTGTTGTTGTTATTATTATTATTATATTAGCAAACAACCTTACTGGATAAACAGAATTCAGGCACTCCAGGAACTGCTGGATTAGATGCTCAATATGTCATTTAATAAAACATTGTGGCAAACTCAGACTTAGCCAATATTAGAAAATATATAGCTGAGCATAATTCAAAGACTATATTTGTTATGTTACTAAGATTTTCTGAAATCAGAATGACAAAGCTGTTAAACTGTACTCTTTACCATGGAAGTAGACAGCATTATAGAGCTCATATGTTATAACTATAGCTTTTAACATGAATAGATTTCACATGTAAAAAATCTCAAGCATTATAACGTAACTTTATTAATATGCATCATTATAATATGCCCTGCAGCACCACCAAACAACTGTATCAAATAATCTGTAATTTTGTTCTTTCTAACCTAAAGATTAATGCATTTACACAGTTCTCAATTTTAAATTAGAGGCAAAAAGATAAATAAATATGTCTTTCAATCGAATGCAAAAATTGCTTCATATATCTTATGGCTTCATAGAACTAGCAGGGGATTTAATATATCCAGTTGAATTGTATATTATTGCTGCTCTGCTACACTTAGATAAAAATTGAATTTAAATGATATCTTTTTTAGTTCAATTAACAAAAGTATTGCTTTCATGATGTTTGTTTCCACTTGGTTCATTGTTTTTTTCTGAAGAATTAATGAATTCAAAAAGAAATATTTCCCATGGAATTCTACCCTTTTATTATAATCCAAATACTTAGTTGGTAAGGCTTAATAATTATGTTGATTCTTTCTGTAGGGATATTTAAACTTTAGAAATGAAGCACTGTTATGTGTATGTAAAACTAAAACATTGGTTACATTTCAGATGAATTTTCAAGTGTTTTAAGGATTAGTTTAAACTCATCTGTCATTTAAATATTTCTGCTTTTGCTTTAAATTAACCTTTCCCACACTCATATTACAATTAAAGGGATGCATTACTCTTTCTCTTTCTGGAATGTACCTCAGTTAATTATATTTCCTTTATCACTCTGTGTGGTGGGTTGACCCTGGCTGGACACCAGGTGCCCACCAAAGCTGCTTTATCTCTCCCCTCCTCAGCTGAACAGGGGAGAGAAAAGGTAACAAAAGGCTGATGGGTCGAGATAAGGACAGGGAGAGGTCACTCACCAATTACTGTCACGAGCGAAACAGATTCAACTTGGGAAAATTAATTTAATTTATTACAAATCAAATTAGAGTAGATTGATAAATAAAAATTAAATCTTAAAATACCTTCCTCTCACCCCTCCCTTCTTCCCAGGCTCAATTTCACTCCCAAATTCCTTACCTCTTCCTCACCAGCAGCGCAGGGGGATGGGGAATGGGGGTTGTGGTCAGTTCATCACACGGTATGTCTGCCACTCCTTCCTCCTCAGGGGGAGGACTCCTCACACTCTTCCCCTGCTCCAGTGTGTGGTCCTTCCCACAGGAGGCAATCCTTCACAAACTTCTCCAATATGAGTCCTTCCCAGGTGCTGCAGTTCTTCACAAACTGCTCCAGCTTGGGTCCCTATCATGACATGTAGTCCTTCAGGAACAGAATGCTCCAGCATGAGTCCCTCATGGGGTCACAAGTCTTGCTGTGGGGTCCTCTCCCTAAGGGTCCACAGGTCCTGCCAGGACCCTGCTCCAGTGTAGGCTTCCCATGGGATCACAGCCTCCTTCGGGCCCATCCACCTGGTCCACCGTGCAGTCCTCCATGGGCTGCAGGTGTGTATCTTCTTCACCATTAACCTCCATGGGCTGCAGGGGGACAGCCTGCCTTACCATGGTCTTCACCATGAGCTGCAGGGGATTCTCTGCTCTGGCTTCTGGAGCACCTCCTCCACCTCCTTCTTCACTGGCCTTAGTGTCTGGACAGTTGTTTCTCTCACACATTCTCACTCGTCGCTGCTGTTTTCACAGCAGGTTTTTCTTCCCCTTCTTAAATATGTTATCACAGAGGTGCTACCACCGTTGCCGATTGGCTCAGCTTTGGCCACCGGCTCTATTGGACGTAGGGGAAACTTCTAGCAGCTTCTCACAGAAGCCAACCCTGTAGCCACCCTGCTGCCAAAACCTTGCCACACAAACCCAGTGTACTCTGTTTTTGTTAATAAACTCTTCATTTTGTATTTCGTCTTTGTATATTACATACAAGGTACTTTTAACAGCAGAGGCTTCTGAATGACTTTTTCATGATTAACTGGTAAGTTATTTTCTACATAATGTTCTTTATAGCTTTTGGGTTCATCTGTGAAAATAAATGAAATTACTAGGTTCAGAAGGAGATGGTTTTGACTGTATACGGAAACATTCTTTAAATATTTTTTTTTATTTGAGATTGTAAGTGCAACATTCTGTACTTCCAGCAGAAATGTGTTTGAAAAAAAAAAAAAACAACGAAACTACACGAGTACCAAAAATAAGAAAGAAAATATGAACCCAAATTAAAATACAAGTTCTAATCTTTGATGAAAATACCACGTAATTTCACAAGCTTTTTTTACACTGTATGGAAGATTGGAATCAAGTGTAACAAGATTAGTCATCTTAGATAGTTATGCCACTGAGCTGTAAAAAAAGATCATGAAGTTAGAGTATACTGTGATTCAGAGTTGCGATACTTTTATTCTATAGGGGTCATTTAGGTTTTCTTTTCAATTTTTATTGGGGAAGGAAAAAAATACTATGTTTAGATGTATATGTACACACATATATTCCAGGGACTACTTTATCTAAAGAAACAGAAAATATTAGTGAAAATGTTGGAAGCAATCAGAAAATAATATTGAAGTTTTGACACTTTTAGGGAAAAAAAAAAAAGAGCCAATGCCAATTTTGTATACATTTTTTATACATTATTCTATTATTATGTCTCATCAGGTGCTACAACTATTGAAAAGTATGATCTCAGAACAAATATATGGATCCAGGCTGGAGTGATGAATGGCAGGAGGCTTCAGTTTGGTGTTGCTGTTATTGATGACAAGCTGTTTGTCATTGGAGGCCGAGATGGTTTAAAGACCTTAAACACTGTTGAATGTTACAATCCAAAGACCAAGGCTTGGACTGTGTTACCACCGATGTCAACACATAGGCATGGCTTAGGTAAGGAAAAAAAAATGGTTTAAAAAGACACCACATTTTTCAGATATGTCATTTGTAATGGAAAACTCACTACTTTCAAGTTATCATAGCACTCTAAACAGTAGCAATAACTTATTGCATTGTTCTCGTTAGATCACTAAGAATATACAGGTTTTTATTATTTCCCAAAATAATACAGGGAAAAAGAAAAAATAACACCAAACAACACAGCAAAGAAAAAGCAGAGAAACAGGGAAAGAAACCCTGAAACTTACACAGGCTAGTGAGAAAATTCTGTTTTGTATGCACTGATTTTGAAAAAGGACATCTTTATTTATCAGTCAAGGTATTAGTTATTTTTAATCGAGGCGTTATGTTTTCATTTACCCAGTATGATAGGAAAGAAAGGCTATAAACACAGTCAGTGAAGGGCTGATGGACTTTATGAAGTATTTGTAGCAATAGTTTCATTGTGACTGAGAGCATATTTTCCCATAGGCTGTTTTCAGATAAGTTGTGTTGTGTTTTGTTTTGTTAATAATATTATCCATACCACTATCAGCATTAATCAAGTCACATTGTATCCCTGTTCTCTACTTAAAGAAATATACATTTTTGGGCGGAAGGGGGTTTTATTATTTTTTAAATTAAGCAAAAATATAGTTTACTTGGAAAAAAATATTGTTTCCGTGGGAAAAAAAATAAAAGTCTTTCTATTAGGTATATCATATATGTACAGTAGGAAAAAAGCTTCCATTTATTCAACAACATAAGTCATTTTGTGATGTTTCAAAAGTATCTTTTTTTATTCTTAACTGTAGAGTTATGAGATTTTCTCACTTAAAGGAAGGAATTTAGAAACTATAGGACATACCTACCAGAATATGACTTGTATAAGCTATAGAAAACTGAACTGTTCATTATCTGTTCTGCTAAAATCACCTGGGGTGATAGAATCATTATAACGTCATGAAAAATAGAAATGGAAAAGACATGTGAAGTTATTATGTCCATTTGCCTGAGTTACACTCAGCAGCAAGTCCTTTAATGTACTACTGTATCAATATCTCACAAAAGGAAGGTTGGTTCCCTCTCTCCCCCCTCCCCAATTTGACACATATCTTAATTCACTTTTGTACAGTGGCCAGCATAATGCATTCTTTCTATTAAACATGTCTTACAATAAAAAAAAAGTAGTGATGGGAATTTATGTCAAATGGCATCATGACACTAAATAGCTCTGTGATTTAAAATTGTTTCCTACGTTTAAATTTAATTATAACGCTGCAGAAATACATGTAGTATCTTTTTTACCAGTGTTCCAGAATTTTACAGAATCTGTTATTAGTTTCAATGCAGTTCCCAGGGGTGGTAAAAATGCAGCAACTTCAGCTATAACACAAGAAAGTATTACTAAAACATTAGGGAATGCTTGATAGAGAAAAAACTTTTCCCAGTGACAAGAGAGATGGAGCTATGATTGAAAATCATTTGTGATCAGTTAAAAAAATATGTGTCATTTTGGATTGATAATTCTAAAAATGCTGTTGGTCAATAGATTTAAAAAATACCTTTATAGGTTAAGTAAAGCTGTTCAGGAATGTTGAGGTTATGATTGGAGAAAAGCTGGCATATTTTCTACAGGAGAAAAAAGGGAATACATGGGGCATTTCACCACTAGAGGTTTTTTTAGTTTTGTGTGCTTTTTTTGTGTGAAATTGGGGCTTTTTGTAAACCACGTGTAAAATGAGGAAAGAAGTATAAACTGGGTTTTTATTGGTGATGAAGAAAATTATTAAATGCAGTTGTTTGGGAAAGCAGTACAGGTGTGCTATTTTTCTTTACTTGGAATTGTGTAAGAGTCATGATATATTATTTCCCAAGAAGCTTAGCTAATATAATTTAATTGCTTTTTTCTTTTGAGTACTTTTTTCCATTAAAAAAAAAGAAATTATTTTATATTATTTTAGCATTATTTTAGTTATTATTATGTGGTTATTATACTAAGTTTATTTCAGTAAATGCCCTTTGTAATGAGAAATTAATCTGCAGTAAGAAATCTTTTCATTTGTTTTCTAAAATATGTTATTTTATATCCATGAAGTGATAATGCTAGAGCTGTTCAAATTAGATTAGAAATAGGCACCCATCCTTTACAGTGATGTCTTCTTGCTGACATCAGCAAAAATCAGATGTGCCTCATTGTAACTAAAGTCACAACTAGGCAATACAATTCACTTTATTCTTTCTTCATATAATCTTCAATAGAACTATGTGTGTAGAATTTGATATAAGTTGAAATAAGAAATGAAAAAATGAAAACTGACAAGTTTTGTAGTGAAAGTACAGAGTGTAAGAAGTCATATGTTAGGCAGTTTCAGTGCTTTCCATGAAAAATGAGTGGAAGCTATGGTAGTGTCTGTAATAAGTGGTGCTAATGTACATAAAAGAAAGGGTAGACTGTGGGATGCAAAACTATTATTTCAACTAACAGTGATTCTAATATCCTTGTCAAGTAGGCCATAAAACAGTATGGAATAAAAAAGAGTAATGAGAAGCCAGGAAGGCAGTGGAAAGCACAAATGAAATATGGGGAAGGTGAAACCTGAGAAACAGAAAGACCAAATCAAGACCCATATAGAGAAGGTAGAAAGAGACTGAAAGAAGAAAGAAGGAAAAAATGCAAACCAGGTTGTGGATTATAACTTCAGCAAAGAAATGGAAAAAGTGGGTACAGAATTGCTTCATAAAAGGACTTGAACTATTGTTGTGATTCTTTAAAAGGACTATACATATTAAAATTTTCAGAGAATATAAATGCAACTAAATGTGTTATGAGTTTTAAGAATAATAAATGCTATATAAAGTTTAATAAAGTGAATTGCTTACCCAGGAAGATATTTTTGATTGGTTGGTTTGTTGGTTTTTTTTGGGGGGGAAAGGAAGGTTGTTTTCCTTTCTCTCAACCACCATGAATTATCTAATAACAATAATTAAATTTTGCCTATTCAAAGACAAATTTTTAAGCTTTCTTGAACCTTAAAGAAAATAATTTTCGATTCATTCTGAAAAAGTTCTAGAAATGCTAGGCCTAATTTTCATCATTTCACTCAGATGATTATTTCTAGTGATTTTCTATAGCCCACAGAAATAACCGTAATTTTCATGTGCAGACTTGCAAATGAGAGAGTTGTGTCATGAAATCACTGCCAATGAAAAATATTAAGATCTTTTCATAATTTATCATAGAATCATAGGATGGTTATTTGGAAGGGACCTTAAAGATCATATAATTCCAACCCCCCTGCCACAGGTAGGGACACCTTCCACTAGACCAGGTTTCTCAAATCTGATCAATTTATGCCATTTAAAGTCCTTCAGGTGAAAACCTATTGTTAATAGAAAAAAAATCAATTAGATGGTAGTAGATAATTTTACTGAATCTTTCATTTTCGTTGATATAATGCTTATTATATACTGCTTTGAGTCCTTATTAACCGCTAAGAGTATTCTCACTTTTTCTGTCTTTATTTTAATCACTGTCCATAGCTGTCTGAGATAAAGCATGTTAAATCAACATGTCATGGGAAGGTAGTTTTCTTTATCAGAAAATGCTTAAAAAGCTCATTCACCGGGAGAAATGCATGATCCTTATTGCCGGTGTGTAATGACACTTTACTTACATATGGATCAACAGAAGAATATTCTGACTACTAATAAAGAAAATCAGGACTGAAGTGCAAATTGATGTAAATTTAACTTTCCATTTTCATTGATGCAAAATGTAAAAAAAAAAAATTATTTCCTGCTTAATTAATTCATCTCAGCTTTGATTTTATTCTTACTACATGGTAAACCTCAGAAGGAAAATACATGTATACATATAAAAATCTTAATCAATCTAAGCCTATACATTTTTAAATCATTGTTATAATTTAGAAACTATTTTAACTATCTTTAAAAGTATTTCATTGTTGTCTGTTTCAGTGATTTAAAATTAAGGAGATGCTTTCCAAAGAATTTTTAGAATTTAAAACAAAATTATTCTTTATGAAATATTTTTAACCTATGTGATAGCTTAAGGCATGTTTACAAACTCTGTCTATGATTTTAAAGAACTAAAATTTTAGGGTAGGTTTCATCCCCCTAAGTAGGAGTACGTATAACTGATGAGAACAACTGAGGTGACATATTCTTGTTTCCATGAAAAAAAAAAAAAAAAACATGTCTAGGATTAAAAAAATTGTGGCTTGTGAGCAGTTCCTGCCTCTTAAGGTACAACAAAGATTATTGAGAAGACTTCACAAACTGAAAATCTCCTTCCTGAATCTCTGTGTCTCCCTCTTTTTTTAATAAAAAAGCCTACATCAGTTTTATCCATACTGGAAGTTGATTAAAAATCTATGACTATGATTTTTACTACTGAAAGGAAAAAAAATATTAAAAGCTAGTTTTAGTTTTTTAATGTTCTATTTTATATATATAATTGAATTAATATATTAAAACCCTTCTACATTGGAAGGTACTTCTTGTGTAATTAACAAAGAACGTCTTGACCAGGCTCCACAGTTCGTTCTTATAGTCATTTCAGTAATGGTCCATCATGTTTGCCATGTAAGTGTGATTATACTGCTATTGTCTAATTGATAGACCTTTTTGCAATTTACAACATGTTTGTGAACATGTTCTCATTAGGTTAGAGTGAATCTGTTGCTGTTTGTTCACTGCTTTTTGACTGAATATTAGGTAATATTGTTGCTAGCAACCACAGTTCACTCACTTCACAAAATGACAAGAACACAACAAATAATAGAGAAGTGAATTGTTAAGAAAATTTAACCTAGAGCTGGGGCGTTTTCTAGGATGTAATATAATCCTTTAACTTCTAATTTTTATTTTATTAAAATCTCAATATCACTTCTAAAAATAAAAAAATTCCCCCAAAAAGCAGGAAGTAATCTAGATGTTAAATACATCCTGAACTTTAAAAAGCAATGTGGGTAATAATATTTTAACCATAT